AAAAAAAAAAAAAAAGAAAAAAAAAGAAAAAAAAAAAAAAAAAAAAAAAAAAAAAAGACAGAAAAAAAATATTTATCCGTTAAAATTCCTTCCAAAATTCGGAAGTTTCGGGATTCCCAAATAAAAACGAATATTCCTTTTTTCTACACAAGTCTAGGGTTTAAAAAAGTCGGGTCTATGGAGCTGGGACGAGGAAAAAACCGGGAAAAAAACAACAAAGCAACGGCGGAACCGGGAAAAAACTGGGAAAGGGGGAAAACTGAGCCGAATCCTCCCGGCGCCGCCACGGCCGGTTCCGGGTGGGAATGCCGGAATTCCCCAGGGATTTCCCAGCTCCCACTGGTGGGTCTCACCCGCCGCTGCCCCGCGGAGAAATTCCCGGGAATGGGCGGCGGGAGGAGGGGGGAGAATCCGGTGGGATTTTCGTTTGGCCGCGGTGGGAAGAGGCGGGAGGGAGGCGGCGGCGTTTTGGTGCGGGAAAAGGGGATTTTGGGAACATGCAACCCCGGAACCGAGGGATTCCGACATCTACGCGCCACTAAATCCGACCGGCGCCTATGGAAAAACTCGAATATACAGGAACTCGAAGGGTCATGTACAAAATCCACAGCGTTTTCCGGGAACGCGCCCGGAATTCCCTCCGGCCCCGAATCGCCACCGGGAAAGGCGACACCGTTTGTTCTTTGGGTTAAAAAACACGGATTTTGGGAAGCGAGGAAGGGAGGGGGGGAAGTTCGGCCTCCCCCACTCCCCCGTCCCGGCGTCGAGTCGTTCCCGAACCCCGATCCGGCGCCGGATTCCCGAGCGCCGCCCGCGCGATCCCGGGGGATTCCCGGGGCGTTCCCGAGGCTCCGCCCCGCGATCCATGTAGTGCTTGTGGCCGGGATTGTGGCCGGGATTGGGGGTCTCCCCCCCCCCCAGAGCTCATCCCCGGGACCAGAGGGGGGAACGCTCCGGAGGGGCGAAGGCAGCGATCGGGGCCCCCCCCGGCCCCCTTTTCCCAAAACCTCCGGGCTGCGGGAGCGGGAAGGGGGGGTGAGGATGTCCCTGTGCCGGCTCCGGAATCGGCTCCGGAATTGGCACTACTGGGCCTCGGCCAGGGCGGGGGGCTCGGGGGGCGCCGGGGCCTCGCTCCGCAGCGGATCCGCCTTGGAGAAATTCATGTCCAGGATGTGCCGCTGGAGGTGCCGCACCCACTCCTCCTGGATCGACAGCGGGCCCTGGAATTCCACCTCGCAGAACCTGCGGAGACGCCGCGTCAGCTCCCCCAAAAAACGGGGATGAGGCAGCCGGGAGAATGTTGGGAATGAGGGATGGGATACAGGGATAGCCAGAGATGAGGGGGAATGGGAATGAGGGATGGGATACAGGGATAACCAGAGATGAGGGGGAATATTGGGAATGAGGGATGGGATTCAGGGATAGCCAGAGTTGAGGGACAATGGGAATTAGGGATGGGATACAGGGATAGCCAGAGATGAGGGGGAACGGGAATTAGGGATAGGATACAGCCAGAGATGAGGGAGAACGGGAATTAGGGTTGGGATACAGGGATAGCCAGAGCTGAGGGACAATGGGAATTAGGGATGGGATACAGGGATAGCCAGAGCTGAGGGGGAATATTGGGAATTAGGGATGGGATACAGGGATAGCCAGAGCTGAGGGGGAATATTGGGAATTAGGGATGGGATACAGGGATAGGCAGAGATGAGGGAGAATATTGGGAATTAGGGATGGGATACAGGGGGGGACAGGGACACACAGAGGGACACGGGGACACCCAGAGCCTCCGAGGTTGCCAGGGAATGTCGGGATCAGGGAATGGGATTAGGGACATCCAGAGGGATGCAGGAACACCCAGAGCCTCTGAAGCTGAGGGATAACAGGAATCAGGGATGGGATATGGACAGGACAGAGACACCCAGAGCCTCCAAGCATCCCAAAAAGAGGGATGAGGTGGCTGGGCAGCGGTTCCCTGTGCATCCCTGTGTATCCCTGTGTATTCCTGTGTATCCCTGTGGCTCCCTGTGGCTCCCTGTGTATCCCTGTGTATTCCTGTGTATCCCTGTGTATCCCTGTGGCTCCCTGTGTATCCCTGTGGCTCCCTGTGTATCCCTGTGGTTCCCTGTGTATTCCTGTGTATCCCTGTGGATCCCTGTGTATCCCTGTGTATCCCTGTGTATCCCTGTGTATCCCTGTGCCTCCCTGTGGTTCCCTGTGCATCCCTGTGGATCCCTGTGTATCCCTGTGTATCCCTGTAGTTCCCTGTGTATCCCTGTGGTTCCCTGTGTATCCCTGTGTCTCCCTGTGTATCCTTGTGGATCCCTGTGTATCCCTGTGGATCCCTGTGTATCCCTGTAGTTCCCTGTGTATCCTTGTGGATCCCTGTGTATCCCTGTGTCTCCCTGTGTATCCTTGTGGATCCCTGTGTATCCCTGTGGATCCCTATGGCTCCCTGTGTATCCCTGTGCCTCCCTGTGGTTCCCTGTGTATCCCTGTGACTCCCTGTGTATCCCTGTGTGTTCCTGTGTATCCCTGTGCATCCCTGTGGTTCTCTGTGTATCCCTCTGTCTCCCTGTGTATCCCTGTGGCTCCCTGTGCATCCCTGTGTATCCCAGTGTATCCCTGTCTCTCCCTGTGTCTCCCTGTGGCTCCCTCTGTATCCCTGTGCCTCCCTGTGTATCCCTGTGCCTCCCTGTGTCTCTCTGTGTATCCCTGTGTATCCCTGTGTATCCCTGTGCCTCCCTGTGTCTTCCCTGTGTATCCCTGTGTATCCCTGTGTGTCCCTGTGGTTCCCTGTGGCTCCCTGTGGTTCCCTGTGGTTCCCTGTGTATCCCTGTGTCTCCCTGTGTATCCGTGTGTATCCCCGTGGCTCCCCGTGGATACCTGTGTCTGCCTGAGTCTCCCTGTGTATCCCTGTGTCTCCCTGTGTATCCATGTGGTTCCCTGTGGCTCCCTGTGTATCCCTGTGCCTCCCTGTGTATCCCTGTGGCTCCCTGTGTATCCCTGTGACTCCCTGTGTATCCCAGTGTATCCCTGTGCCTCCCTGTGTATCCCTGTGGCTCCCTGTGTATCCCTGTGACTCCCTGTGTATCCCAGTGTATCCCTGTGCCTCCCTGTGTATCCCTGTGCCTCCCTGTGGATCCCAGTGTATCCCTGTGGCTCCCTGTGGCTCCCTGTGGCTCCCTGTGTATCCCTGTGGCTCCCTGTGTATCCCCGTGACTCCCTGTGTATCCCTGTGTATCCCTGTGGCTCCCTGTGTATCCCTGTGGTTCCCTGTGCCTCCCTGTGGCTCCCTGTGGCTCAGGGGGGCTCCCACCTGCACTTG